ACAGGTAGTTGTTAATAATGTTCGTAAAAGATTTGAACCTCAAGTTCTAAGGTGTAATGGAGATAAACACGAGAGCCTTTGTCTATTGATAAGTAAAATTTACTGAAAGTATAGGATTAAAATTCAAACAATTGGATCATCAAATCCCTATAAGATATGTACATTTGTCCCTGGGAGAGATTGTTGACACGTACACCAACAAATGTAACTAATTGGCAATGAGTATTTAACAATAGGATTTTCTACGCTGTACATTTGTAACCTGTATGATTTTCCCAGGGTAGTTCAGCTATTATGAGGCTTGCGAGTCTGTTTTTGGCACGTTTCGGGATTGTTAAAAAGTCAATTTTTGTCTTGTAATAGCATAATGTCAACATAGTTACCAGGCCCACCCTCTGCTTTCATTAAATTGTTATCTAAAATTACATTGTATTCTGAACATTTCAATAACCAGAATAAGGGCTTTAAGTGTCGCCCAGAAGGGGTTCTGATTTCTTAGCATCATAGTTAAAACAAGCCTAAAAGCGTAAAAAGGTAAAGGTAAAAACCTTTTTTAATGTATCAGAATTATGCATAGTGGCATTTTATAATGTTTGACATAGATGAAATGGAATGTCAAGATATGGAGTTTGTGCGTGTTTTGGGATGGTGCGAGTGGTGCAATCCCTCGCTCCTCTTGGGGCCTCTGTGTTCAAGGGGCTTTGATCAGCTGTATAGAAAGTTTCAATCAATACATCCAATATGATATCAATAAAGCCGGTTGGTCTGCCGGTCTACCTGTCAAATCTAACCAGGTATGACAGCAAACACATTGGCTCTTTATCCCCATACTCCTATCCCAGCCATACACACCAAATTCTTATTTATTCGTCTGAAAAACTACATCTGTTGCCTTGGAAACATCATTAAAACACTGTTGAAAAGAAGAAAAAATGGCACGCCATGCTCAGTTTGGATGTTCAAATCAGTGCAAACAGAGTATTGATAGAGGATAGAATGAGATTTGGGCTGCTGAGGCCGGAGATCAAACATAGGGCTCAGGTGGGCATACTCAGGTGTATGTGTTACCTGCTACACTTACCTGTCCGTTTGTTACCTGCTTTATTGTTACCTGTACAGAGAATGGTTTCAATATGAAATCCAAGTGAAAAGCCTACCTGTACATAGGTCACGCACAAATATTGATTATAAATTATTTTTGAAATCTGGATTAGGATGATTCAAAGTCTTGTGTACATAAGGAAATTGAGGTCTGTAACCAATTTATAAAGGGGAAAGTATGTGGACCCATGATACCGTGTCAATCTAAACATGTCAGAAAGAAATTCAATTATATCAAAAGAAGTTTTAAATCCAGTCATTGATCAGATAAAAGTGAGTCTGTGTAAAAAGAAAGAGTTAAAGACAAGCCATGGCACTCTTTTGATGTGCATTATCTATGATAGGTAATCTGGGAAATGTCAAAAAAAATGTTAAAATTTTATCAATTTACTTTGATAGAACATACTGGACAATAAGCATTGTAAGAATGTGTTCTATTTCTTTATTTTCCATTCTTTATCATATTGAGTCTTCTCCTAGTGGAAATGATATAATTTTTGTGTTAGATGAATATATATTCAGCAATATTGTGGTGTTTTTTGTCTCGCCGCCACTAAGTGGAAGCAAGACTAAGGTGTTGCTTTTTACAGCGATGGTGTCAACATTAAGTTTTTGAGTTTAAATTAGTTTCACTCAAAGTATAAGTGCTAGACCAACCAAACTTGGACCATAGATGCATCTTAGATATTACATACCAACCCATGCATCAAATTCTGGATGCAGCCTACATTTCATGGTCCATTGACTTTGTCAGCATCTCAATCAACATTAAGTTTTTGTGTTTAGGTTAGTTTCTCTGATATGTGCATTGATGGTCAAAGCAGGGCACAGGTGAGACACATCAATCTGAATGGCTTGTTCAAGTTGTCTTAGGCATGTCAGTATATATAGTTCCTCTCTGTAATCAGGAACATCACCCAGTATCCTAATGTAATATTCCTACACTGCACAAGTTTCCAGTTGTACTTTAGACATCCTAGAATTATTTGTCTTAAATAGGTCAGTTTATAATTAGTAACCAGGAAAAAATTCCTTATTGGGACAATTCAGAGGAAGACAAAAGGGTGTTAGTTTACAGCTTCTGTAGTGGCCGGTTATATTTTCAGATTTTTAATTGATTTTAATCGGTTTTCTTATTGTACTGGGCCCAACTCACCTGTGTCTTCATACAAAACTAACTCATTGTGGAAGTGGGTAAGTCTCCAGCTCGCACACACTCATCAGTCGGATTAATGGATCTACTTAAAGTACGGCCATAAATTTATTTAATGATGATCAATTTATGCCTTTGTTGCGTTGTGTTGGGCCCATTGATGATGAGGCAAGATGAGTGCCATGTTGACTTGCAAACAGAAGCTTGTGGAGAGAGAAAGGCAGCGCGGAGGCAGTATTGATGTTTAACATTAGAGCTTTCTGCATTACCTGTCCCAATGACTGTCAAGCCCAGCTTTTATCCTCAGCTTTGTTGGAGTTATTGTGTGATTAGGTTTGTTTAGGAGAAGGATACAATAACTAGGTGCTTATCATCTAGAGAGGTAGACGAGAGGAAAGGATCGATATCTCAATTTGATCTTCACACGCATCATTAGGCCACATTATAGGACGCGTGTTAGAGTTGGGGACTCATCGCCAGAGAGGAGTTGGGAGAGATGGGCCAATAGTGTAAAATGCAGTGGGGCACATGTTCCGATTACACCTGATTCGCACAATCGTCTATTACCTGTTGTAATTAAGTGGTGGAGTAGAGACGGAATATGCATGAGGTATAACCAGCCTGCCTTAATTACAGATTAGTGCTCAAGTGTCTACTAACCAACGGCTCCAAATCGCATCACACACACCAGCAGTTTCACTGCTTGTTATTTAATACAGAAAATATGGCAATCATTACAAAATAATGTCATTGTTACGTCATTTGGGGCCCCGTTCCCAACACCAGACGCTTTCTCGAGTTTTCAAGATAACAAACAGGCATATTTCTGAAATAAGAGAAAGTTGTTTACATTTCGGTAATTTGATTCCGACAAAGATATGACAGTTATGGATGGAGAATGGTAAGGGATAATGTAGAGAGGGTTAAGGGACACTGTAGAGAGGGATAAGGACATTATAGGGAGGGGTAAAGGCAACGTAGAAAGGGGTAAGGACACAAGAGTAGGGTAAGGACAATGTAGGAAGGGAAAAGGACAATGTAGTGAGGGGTAAGGACAATGTAGAGAGGGGTAAGGGACACTGTAGAGAAGGGTAAGGAACACTGAAGTGAGGGGTAAGAACACTGTATAGAAGGGTAAGGGACACTAGTGAGGGGTAAAGACATTGTAGAGAGGGGTAAGGACACAAGAGAGAGGTAAGGACACTATAAACAGGGTTGAGGACATAATAGGGAGGGGTAAGGACAAAGTAGAAAGAGGTAAGGACACTAGATAGGAGCAGGGACACTGTAGAGAAGGTAAGGACATTGTAGAAAAGGGTAGAGACATTATAGGGAGGGGTAAAGGCAACATAGAAAGGGGAAAGGACACAAGAGAAGGATAAGGTCACTGTAGGAAGGGTAAAGGACAATGTAGTGAGGGGTAAAGACAATGTAGAGAGTGGTAGGGACACTGTAGTGAGGGGTAATGACACTATAAACTGGGGTAAGGACACTATAAACAGGGGTAAGGACATAATAGGGAGGGGTAAGGACAAAGTAGAAAGAGGTAAGGACACAAGAGAGGGGTAAGGACAATGTAGTGAGGGGTAAGGACACTGTATAAGGGGTTTGGAAGACTGAAGAAAAGGAAGAAAAATATTATAATTCAAATCAGCATAACCAGTAATTTCAAGACTGATGTGAAATATATTTGGTCTCCATTGGAATTCTTCTATTTCAAATTGTATCAGGGATAGAATACTTCTGAAGGGAGTAACTGTTATTGAATTTCAGTACAGAACCATATCTCTGGTGATTGTATAAATTTTATGAGTCTAGTTACTGAGGAAGTGATGTATATGCTATTGTTGCTAACTTCCATTTGACCCCTAACCTCATGACAGGGTCAGTTTTGGTTGTAGTCGTCTACGCCCACAGTGATTACCTGTTGTCCAGGTAGTGAGATGGTCATCTTACAATGGCCAGTCGCCATGGCTACCAGCCCCCTTGTCCATGCATGTACCAGGCGATGGAGCCTCTGTTACCTGTATTTTACCTGCGAGGACACAATGGTGTGCACACATAAAGGGGCCATCACCCATCTAACTGGATAATAGGCTGCCGATGATAATGTTCTGTAATCTTTGGCGAGTCAATCCTAAAATGACTCTGCAAACAGATTATCAGGAGACATCAACTGCTGAAATTGTTGTTAGTGTGTGACCTGAACAATGTCCTCTTTGATCTTAGTAAAATAAACAAACAACTCTCACACATTAAAAACATTCAGGGTTGTTTAACATATTTTAATGTGATACAATTCATGTTCATTTAACTAATTGGTGGAAACAAGTTTATCAAATATGGATCGAAATTGACATATTTCAGAAGATTCTTATTTGGTTAAACTTTGGTATGGGATTTACATTGTTTTAGCTGCTTCTTTTACTTACATGGATAACAGTGATTTTTAATTTAAAGTTTTTCAGCCAGGCTGCATCACCTAACAAAATAAGTGCTCTTTTTTCCCAAAATAAAAAAAATGATAAATATCTTCCTAATTTCAGTAAAATTGCCAAAAATCTGTAAACAAAACCTGAGTAAGGAAATACATGTACATAGAATTCTGATGGATCATCAAATTGATTTCGGCAGCCAATCAAATGTCCTGCTATTGATGATGAGGAGTCTGATTATGTGTAATTACAGGCTAGACTTTGGTAGTCGTTAGATCTGACAATGATGGCCAACAGAATTGACTATATCCTGTGACAATAAACATCCCGACCTCAAAAGGATGTTATCAAATTATGGGCCTGGTGATGTAGTAACAGAGTAGCAGTGATACACAGGCACTTCCTGTGAAGGCCGTATAAACAATGGCCTCACAAATTCCTGTATCACTGGCCACCCAGCACCCATCTCACTCTCTCAGTCCACACTAAAGTTTAATTACATCAACTCATATCAGTACTCTATGTCATTAATTAGACTAGTGTCCACACTCCACGACACCTGAGTATGGCTCGTCATTAGCGCCAGGTAGATGTCCAGTGACACTGACCAGTGGTAAAGGCTGCCCCTCTGGGTTAGCTCAGTGTGTGTATGGTCTCACGGCCCTGAGTTTATAGCCCAGTGGAAGCCAGTACAGCCAGCCAGCTTTCTCACGCCCCACTGGCTCTGCGCTGCCTGCTATTGTAGGCATCATCTGCATGTGAATGGCCGACTTGCCCTGTCCCGAACCATGTGATCACAGCCTTGCCTAGCCAGCCAGCCGTGAGGAAAGTGTATAGCAGTCAATGTATGTCTAAGTTAGGAACTACTCATAACCACTACCAAGTTAGGCCTGAAAACATGAGTGTTGTGTGTCAACAGTGGAACTGACTTTAGTTGACAGTGCTAGTGTCTATCCCCCAGTGTACATGTTTACTTTGTAACTGTACATGTTTACTCCCAGTAGTGTTAACCATGAGGGACACCTGTGTCGGAAGTTTACTCGAGGTACCTGTGATTTTTGGTACTGTACGGATGTAGTGTAACAGTGATATTTTACCCTAACTGTGCCTTGTGTGGATGTGTCATGCTCTAGGATTAATTCTCTTAAATTCACTGTGGATTACTTCATCATCTACAAAATCAATTCCTCGACACTGCAAATCTCCGCTTTTGGGTGCAAAACGCTATGGGAAGTTAGAACCACTGCCTCAAAATGAAGAAATTGCGAGCACATAAATGCTCCGAACTTGTGCGATTTCTCCTTGTTTTATGTGTGTTTGGTAAGTTCATCTTCCTAAGGTAGAGATTACTGTTTGTAAATTGAAAGATTTTTCTTCAAAAATACATTTGTTTATTTTGAAGAGAAATCTGTCGATATGGTATGTATACATTTTAGGGAATTGATTCAGTGAAATTCTAGCTGAAAGTCAGCTTTATGTGGCATATAATTTGGAGTAAAATTACGTCAAACTATCATGTCTTTTTATAAAATTTGTTTATTTTTCTTAAATTACTAGAAATTTATTCTAAGACAAAATGTAATTTCTTTTCCACTACAGTATGTAGTTATAAGTGATGAAAGCTTGGTGGTACAGGAATAGAGATTGAATTGTAGAATTTATTGATTTTATACCTTAATGCTTTTACAGGATATGAAACAAAATTTGTCATCCTAATATCAAAAGCTTAGAAAATTTTAAGAGATATATTTAAATTTTACAGTTAAAAGTACAAATAAACTGGAGTTTTATCATAAAGCTCCATTCATTTCTCATTGAAACCATGGCTCCATTCTCTCAGGAGGTAGTTAAAAACTTTTTAACGGTTTCATGTTTGATACAAATATACATTACGGAAAGTCCTTTTGTTGTTTTATAGAAATAAAGAAAGTAACATTTAAGGGTTAAGATGGTTTTTGATATATTTTTTTTGTAAATATTGCCTGATTTGTTGGCATTTAAAACTTCTCATATGAAGATTACGCATCAATTTTCTATTCAGTGACGTTAATTTGAAACCCTGAAAATGATATCACAACATGGTGCTATTGTGTGTTTGTCTGACTTTAAGGAACTAAATTACATTCCCACACGTTTCATCTTACAGCTGTAATTTACAGGTAAAACCGGCAAAAACGATTCTTCTGACCTCCCCCAGTTCAGGGTGATATATATTACACCTTGAACACAAAAGTGTTTCCTCTCTGTGATCATGTTCTCAACCTTCAAAATACCCGTCAGGTTAAAGGACAATAAATATAAGTATACCTACAAAAGCCATGTTTCAACATTTTTTCTATCCATTATGTTATTTTGGTGTTTCTATAAAATGACACATACAATTATTTCATAATTTTGGAAATTGGCTTGTAAGATATCATCTGAGCAAATGAGAGACAGGTGTAATTATGTAAATATCTCCCTAACAATAAATACCTGTAATTAACTTGTCAAATCTGACTGGTATTACAAATATTTTAAATTCACAAGATAATGGTTTGGGGCCATCTTGGGACTGTCGACATAGGTTTTGATTTAAACAAAATTTGTTTTATTTTTAATGAAGTTCACAAAATTAAAATATACAATTTTATAACTTTTCTTTTGTCAAAATATGAATTTAACCAGCAGTAATTTTGTTGTTGAAATTGTGCAGGCACAAAATAAAGGTATATGACTTAAAACCACTGGAAGCTGGAGATAGTTTTACCCAGGGAGATGAATTGTGAATTAGCTTTATCATGTCCTAGCTAGGGTTTATTGGCTAATTAGTTTAGTGGCCCATTAGCACCTTGTCCCATGAGACTATTCACAGGTGAGCAATACAGGTGAGTGAATTTCATTAAGACCAAACTTTCCAGTTAGGTGACAGGCCCAAGCTGTTAGACTCCCAACCTATTAAAGCTGTCATGACCTCAGTTTAACTGTCAACATTGATGTCAAGATCAGCTCAACCCAGGGGTGTGTGTCCCCTCACCCCAGGGATAAAACTAATTAATATTAGTGAACATTCTCCACACCCTAGGGGCCAAATCACTTCATATTAGTGATAAGAAAGGGTAGAAATTGTCAGACATATAAGTAATATGTGTTAAGTCTCCAGGGTGAGAAAATTTCTACAGGAAAGTCTTGTATCCCAAGGGGCGACGTAGCTCCCCCTCTGTTGACAGGGAGTGACAGAGGGGTTTATATCCCTTTGTGCCTTAAAATGCCAATTTAACACATTTTCATTAAATGATAAAAGGGAAAAGAAACATATTCCTGTTGTTTGTGTAGTTGTTTGTCTAGATTAGGGTTTATCAGTGAGACAGTGACAGGATGGGCCAGTGACTATATAGGTTACCTTGTAGGTAGTGACAACACTTCTATGTTTTATTGATAACTGTTTCATAAACTTTCATTTGTACTGTTAATATTGACAATGGACAACATTTTTTTAATTACATATTTTAAAAATAATGTGAAAATTGTATTGGGAACTGGTTTTGGACAAAATAACAGCCTTCAAAAATATTGGTAAAACAAAAATATTTTTGATCACAAATTTACAATATACTTTGAAATATCTATAAGATTATCCCAAGAAGAGGTTAAAGTAGAATAACTAAAATTGTCCAAAATTCACAAAATGATAGTCAGAAAATATGGTAATATGAAATATTCACAGGAAAAAATGGTACATGTATTACGAAATATTCATTAATGAAAGGAGATATGGTTTTATGAATTTTGAAATATATTGCCAAAAAAAATTTCACTTTCTTTAATTTCTTTTGGGTCTTGTCTGAACATTTCCCACGCCAATTTAAAGAAAATTGCTTATATAATGAATATCTGAAATAGATTTGATGAAAATTAAATAAATTGGAAACCTAATGCAGTACTAATAGATGACATACTGAAAAATTTGCATGAAAATTACTTCAAGTGAATTAATTCATTTTTCAATTTGGACATGTTTACACTATATGAAGTGTATATGGTAGATAGGACATGTGGTATATGTCTATCAAAAGTAACTAGGTATATATCTTCCTCCTGTGACTGGAATCATTGATATGGACAGCATGCAGAACAGTTTAGAGATGTGTTACCCAGGGACTTGATGACATTTGGAGTGTGGCTCCCCACTGGGGGGCAGCACTAAAGGCTTGGTTCCCAGGGGTTTCCCAGGGATTGGGGTGCCTGTGTAAATACACAGCCATAAACACTACCATCAACTTCTAACTAGACAGGTCCTGCCCTAGGGGCCCAGCAGCTGTATCAGCTACTGTGATTGGTCAACAGCTATCAGGGGTGGTCAGAATTGGTCTTAATCTCCCATCTCCCGCCATACCACATCAAAGTCTTTCATTAGGATTATCATTTTATCATTATGCACCAATTACCACTACAAGTTAGCAGTATTGGGGACAGGAACAGGTGCTCTGTGTTCCTCTGATCTTTTGGAGGAAAGTGATAACACACAAGCTCAATGGTCCCATCCAATAACACACAGCATCAGTAACAAACAACAGGCCAACTCAGAAAACAGGTGCTCCAGATGACTTTGAAACTAGTTAAAGACACCCGCCACATGAATTCTTTTAGCTTCCCTTGAATATAAGGCACATAAGCTGCCTATAGGCTGGTACGCAGGTTAATTTTGAAGCTGAAAAAACCCCGCTTGTTGCAACTTCATCCCTTGTCTCCCCCTACCAAGGCTCTGCCATGGGACTAACAAGGGTAAGCCTCTGAATATCGTTACCTAGAAGGAACCTTCTTTGATCCAGTAATGTGTCCCCCCAATGCCTATTTAATTTCCTGACACTTGTTTTCCTTGTTGTAAGGAAAAACACTTGTAACCCCCTATATAGGTCCCTGGGGTTTAGGAGTACATGGGAATCACCCAACTCTTGAGCTATATGGCAGAGAAAGGCTAATTGTCCCCAGCTTATGAACTACTTCCATGGCTAATTGAAAAAGTCAGAAGAATGTTGCTTACACACACCAGACAAGAAGGGGCCGCATTTATCTTCCAACGTTTAATACATTAACCTTATAAACAGAAACTTATTAATTTATGATACTTATTTTTTATAAAACTTCATTCAGGTAATGTTATTTGAGTTGCATGTTAAATAATCATGTCAATGCTACACTGTAGAAAATATTAGATAATTTTATAAAGATTAAGAACATCATAATTTGGTGAGTTGGAAGCTGTCAATGCGTTTGCTGCGTTAGATGCTGGGTGTGGGAAAGCTGGGGTGCTGGAACGGTAACAGGTCATCAGGCCACACTTACATAATCCAGGGCCACCTCACAGTAGTCACACAGTCACAGCAACATTTCTTTGGTGGGAATAAAAATATCAGGGTGTACTGATGGTGTTCCCATCCATTTGCCCTTTCATCTGCCTGTTTTAACATCACATAATGGTAATGTTCCTACTTATAGTTTAGGTCCCGACAGCCTGCTGGTTAAATTGGTGGTAAAGTTAAACTGGGTATTTTAAAAAGTCATTAACAAAATTGCTCAATAAATTTCAATGAGAATTTTGTTTACCAAGTTTCAAATCAGTTTATTTCTGTACAAAATTACAAAAGTACATTATACTATTGTTAAAACAAAGATTGATGCCTTTTCTTTCTTTCTTGTTTTAGGGTAAAATGTGAGGCAATAAATTACTTCTATGTAGTGTCTGAGATTTGAAAATAATCAGTAATCAATAGATTTACGCAGAAATTAAATTGGATGTGTTACCAATTACCTTTACCTGTGGTTTTGACCTGTTCACCGGTGGTTAAGATATTAAATTTTGTCTCAAACAGAGAGGCAGTTTTTATTTTTCTTCTGGCTGACACTAATGACGGACAATCAAATTATTTGTAGACATTTTTTTTTACTTGAGATTAAATTCAACCAATTTTGTGAATTACATTAAGTGGTGGACAAATCTAACTACATATCAATGTCATTTTTTTCAAACTGAAACGAAATCCTTTAGACATAGATGTGAATTTATTTGCTTGGAATGGATACAAGATGTTGTGACGACGACGAGTTTGTTCCAGTTCTCTTCTTCGTCACCATTTTAGGGTCAACGGTTTACTGCCTAGCCATTATAACAAAGCCCACACCAGTGGTTCCATATTCTTCTGAAATCTTCACACTAAAACTTTTTTGGAAAACCATTCTCAGTTAGTATACAATTTTAGTACTGAAGTTCAGCATAAACCTATCACTGATATGTTTATCTAATAATCTGGATTTGTTAAAAGCAAAGTTATCTTTTTGTT